TTTATTTATTGGTACCGGGGATCGAACATAATTATATAAATTATACTAACAACCACCAAATACAGAGTGGGTGTTTAGTCGTCAGATAGTAAAAGCTTTGAGTTATTACAGAAGATAATTGTTTCCTATCCATAGGTCATAGGTACCCTGTGAATAATAGTGTGAAAGTAAATTAAATAAAAAGTTTTAAGATTAAAATAACTCAAGAATATCAAGAATGAAATTGTACACTTAATCAGATTATCTATAGAACAAGAAGATAGTATTATGTGTCCTTTACTGCTTCATTATCATAGCCTCAGAAATGTCCTATTGTCCCAACTTAACTCTAGCAAAGGATTTGCAGAATGGGCTAAGGAGCAGAATGATAAGATGGGCCTAAGATGAGTTTCACTGGGGAGGAATTCTCAGAGCTTAGAAGGACACTGCTAGCTGGCAATTGTATCTTGAGACTCCACTTGGAAATGGAGAATCATAAGCAAGAAAATAAGGTGGGCCAAGATGTCAAACACATGCCCTGCCAGAGGATAGACAGAAAAGGAAAAAGACACAGGCGTGTGCTGAGACACTAAGGATCTTGCACATCCAGCCCCTCTGCTGCTTATAAAAATGTCAGCGGGCTTGCAGGAGGCACAGTGGCCTCATCCCATGGATCTGATCACACACATCAGCAGCACAGCAGCTCTGGCCCTCTGTTTACCACCACTCCTACAAGCACTGCCAGCAGTTTCTCAGCCTTCTCTCCCTTACTCTCCATCCCCATGCAACTTATGGTCCCCCAGGTGCCCGAGTCTAGCCAAGGAGTCGACGTGTTGAACTGCAGGTTCCACAGAAGCAGAACTTGCCGACTGTTTCCTTACAGCAGTTCTATGCCCCAGACCCACCCAAGTGACTCGGCATGTGATATATACTCAAAAATTACCTGCTGAATGAATACTAGTGTAGAAAAGTTCTATTTCCATCTCAGGTGAATGGCATCAATCCCTTAACAGAAACTCTGGGAGTGGACACATCAATTCTTCCATAGGTAAGGCTGAGGTCAGACAGATATTACACTAAAACACAGTTTGGGATTCTGAGTAACTGTACTAAAGCCTATTATATAAGTAATCAATGAATGGATAAATAATAGATGGAAACATAATAAAGGCAAATATTAAAATAGCACTTCAAAAGAAAATTACAAGCACAGCATGAAAACTAATTTTGAAAGATGTAGAGGCTGCAGCAGACAAGCTCTCCAGGCCCTGGCCCAATGGTTGGCACACAGGATATTCTTTTTTTTTCTTTTTTTTTGGTACCAGGGAACGAACTCAGGACCTTGTGCTTGTGAGGCAGGTGGCGGCATCACTGAGCTAAATCCCCGGCCCAGAACACTTGAGTTACTGTGTGAATGAGTGTATTAGGGAACAGCAAACAAGTTAGTGAGCATTTCCTCTGAAAGTAGCCTTCAAGCCACAGGTCCAACAATACTAATTATAAAAATGTATTGCACACAAACATTGTAAGATTCCCCCAAATCACTAAAAAGAAAGAACTTAAGAAGTTTCTGTATATTTTCAAAATAACTTACCAAGAAACTCGGCAGGAAGTTGCAACAAGTTGATGAAGATAGAATTTGGCAGTACAACTCTATTTCTTTTACGTACCACTTTCTAAGCTACTACTTCTAGGAACTAATAGCTTTGAATACGCTTAATTATTTATCAAAAAAAGTGTGGGAGAATCTAGAAAAACTGCTATATTCTTAGTTGCAGGAACTTGTATGGCATATAATTATTCAGGGAAAAGTTTTATTCTCATTCTCTGACAATTTTCAGGACAGGGTAAAAAAGCAAACTAATACAAAGTTCTAGTAAATTGCCTTAACCTCTGATCGTGACTTTGAGATAATTTTAAGAGTGTATACGAAAGCAGGTCTAGGGCACTCTGGTAATTTTCCAAAGTGCTTCAAAAATATACTAAGGATTAAAATAGAAAAAAAATACTATCTACAAATAAACTGTAAAATCCCTTACAAGGAAAAGAAAGTATTTTGCTAGGCCTTTAAATCAGCAGGCCATCTGCTGTATGCCAAAGAAAAGGGCACAGTTGACTACAGCAATTATTTCACAGACTGAGAACTTCTCTGATAATGTCTAAACTCCATTATCAGTGGTAACAAGACACCTATGGAGAGACACTCCCCCCAAACTTACACAAAGAAGCAGGCTAGCACACACAGAGAAACTTTAAATAAAATAGCCCTGGAGGTAAAGTTTACCAGAAAAGCTTAGTAAAAGTACCAAAATAGCTCAAGTTCCATCTGAGAGGGGAAAAAAAAAATTACAGGGTTCAGAAACAACCTCTTGCTTATTACAAGGCTGCACCCTTTATTTTCTTACCTCATCCTAAATCATAAAATGTTAGGAACCATGTACTAATAAACTAAAAAAAAAGGAGCCAAAATGTCTGCACAAATAGCACAGTAACTTTAACTTTTCTCTACTCTCACATGCAGAGCTTCTGAAAACATTTTCATCACTTTTTAAAAGGTCTTAAGACCACAACAATATAATACTGTGCTTGTACCTTCATGACTAAGCCTGTTGAAACTTAATAAACCCAATATAACTGCCCTTAAATGGCAGTGTCTTCAGCCACAATTTGTGTAAAAGCCCAACAATAAACTAAATTCACAGTTGGAGGCATTCTGAATGAAGCAGACAGCCACCGTCTGCACCGTCAACAGCACAACCCTCAACAGCCGGCAATAATCATCCTTCTCCAAAACTGGTCTCTAATTAATCTGTAGTAATGATTAATTCATCAATATCTGGCATCTTGCAGGGTGCCTGTCAAACTCCCCAATATGGACTTGATCATAACTAGAAACCAGTGACCACTCTGAAAGAGAACCACAAGCTTTTGGTATTGTAGATTCACGTTTCCATAAATTACCTGGCCTGACTGGAAGCCATTGCAGACTGTGTCCAACATCCCTTCCTGGCCCTCTGTTTTTCTGGATGTGGCTCTCTTTCTTACTGGTATGAATTTCAGGGAACACTTAGTATGAGTCCTCTCCATGTCCTGGGCAAAAAGGGAAGCTTCCTCTTTCCCTTTAGAGGCTATGTTGGATTCTTCTGAATTGTATTGTGTCGACAATGTTGAATTTTCTACCAAATCTGTGCTACCACAATCTACATCCCTGTCTCCCAGGTCTGTTTGAGACAGCTCTGAATCTTGAGGGAGATCCTTCATGAGTTCCACACCTTGTACTATGATTTGTGAGTCTCCTGGTTGGTAAGTTTGCTCTTGTCCAGGGTTAGAAAGATGCTCGTTTTCTCCATCTCTTGGCATAGTTAATGGATCACACTGAGTGTTGTCTTTCAAATCATCCTGCAGGCAACACTGGATTGCCTTTTGACCATTTACACATTGTGTTCCCTCCAGTGGAGACACGTTATGTAAAATCATTTTGAAGTTGTCCTCAGGGTGGGCACTTCTACATGAGAGCAGGGGGATTTTCTGTTCACTAATGGAATTAACAGAAAGAAAAGGTCTATATTGTTCTGTTATATGAATATCCTCAGCAGAAGACAAGCCTCTAATTCGGGACCAGTCTCCATTTAAAAAGCCCTGTTTTTCTCTCTCTGCAGGAGGGCTACATAAACCAGAGTCATCCTCCTCTGAAGTAAGAGAATTAGCACCCTGCCTGCATTTACTGGTCCTGGTAACAGCATCTGACATATCAATAGGTTCCACAAAAGAGCTTTCACTTTTGTTTGCATAATCCATAAAATTGGCTGGGACAAACATTCGCCATGACCGTCTATGCTCCTTCTTTTCTGCATGAGATTTGGCTTTGGATAATCCTGTAGTTCGAATAATATCACTATTTAGTTTGAGTGCATCAAAGATCATCTTTTCATCTAGTTTGTTAGCTTCACGGCCTCTCAGCTCAAACACACTAGAAGAAGTAAGGGCACCATTAGAGCATAAAGAACTAAGATCCAGTGCTCTGTGACTGTAGGGTAAAGTCCGATCTGTAAAATGCCTGGAAGACAGGCTACCTTTTGAGCCAGAGTCTATCTGTTCATTTAGTCTGACTGTATCATAGATTGACCTTTGTGGGACATAGCAGTCTTCAATATTTAGGTCCTCTTCTTCCTCACCTTTTCCTACACATGGGGGATTCTGACGTAAACAGTCTGGTCTGCTGAGTGGCTTCCCCATTTTGTAGACAGTCAAAACAAATACTGCAGCTCTTGACACACAAAGTAAGAAATAAGGTAAAGCATCTTTCAAAAGCAACTACTTCTAAACAGCACTATGATGTATCTTCAGCACAAAGACACATGCTCAAATAATACATGTTGTCATATAAGGTACGAGGTGTTTAGGTCATCAGTAGTGCATCCTGGTTGACTTTAGAGTGATTTTGAAAAGTAAAGTGCATCAAGAAAGGAGAATAGAAATCTTCCTCTACCTCTCCCACCCCTAAAGTTCCCTTTTACACAATCCAAAACAGAAAAAACAAACACACACTTAACCCTTGGCTCAAACACTCCAAACATTCCACTGTCAGTCCATTTCCTTTTTCAGTCTAATTCTGCAACTGAGGTTTCCAGATTAAAATTTCCAAGTGAGCAAGCATTTTAACAGGCTGAATGTTAATTTGAACAGAGCTCTGGTTAACTGTTATCCACTTAATATGCCTTTCAAAACTCCCATCTCCTTTATAAATAAACCATGCATCAGAAACTTAAAAGGCAAGCGCAGTGGCCATGTATTGTTCCTATCAAGGCACAGAGCAAATCTTTAGAAGAAAAATTGTTATAGAAAAGTTAGATTTTTCTTTTACTCTTTTGGGAGGGTAGCTATAAATAATCTTGATTCAAAAGGCAGTTTTTCTTCCCATACTAAGCTTCTTCGAGGCAGAACTACTACCCAAAGAAAAAAAATCAGATGGCCAGGGCAGTTCAATCCAGCGACTGTTTAAAGTAAACAATTCAAAAGCACGTTTGTACTAACATTAACTTCCCTTTAAAAAAAAAAAATCCCAAAGATTCTTATCTGATCCTCTTTCAGAAGGCTTATTCCACCTGAGGGAATTGCAGCAAGAAAGAAGCTCCCGGGTTTCCTCTTAGGCACAGGCAGGGCAATTCACATTCAACTGCAGACCAAACCACTATTCGGTCCTTGGAAACTGACCAACTGCCGTGGCCGTAGCTTGGCTTTCATTTCAGCTAGCGCTGGGGCGCGCCGGAGCTGGCAGTGGACGGAGAAAGGGAGCCCCGGCAGGGTGCTCCTGGGCACCGCTCCTCAGGGCTGCAGGGTCCTGGCGAAGGCATCCTCTCCGGCTCCAGGCAGCATCGGCCCGCGCGGCCCAGTTGTCTCTCATTCCCGTGCTACACCCTCCTGCGACCTAACTTCGCAGTCATCCTTCCCCAACTCCTAGCCCTTCCCGGAGCCGGAGCAGTTTCAGGGGGAGGGACCTGGAGGCCCGCAGCTGCAGGAACCCAGCGGTGACATCAGCACCAGGAGCCTGCCTCTCGTACTGGGGCAAAGGGGCAGGTGGGGCTTGGAGACCGCAGAAACCCCAGGAGGGAGGTGGAACCCGACACCTTGGGAAATCCTGGGAACGGGGGTCGCTGGGTTCTGAGCCTTCAGAGGAAGCCACACTTTCACAGTGAAATCCGTGGCTTAAGCAGTATCTGTGATGTGAAGTGCAGATCCCTGAAGTCTAGTGTTTTGTCATTCTCTTTTAAAGCCTAAATTCAAATCTAACTCTCCTCCAGAGAAAATTATTCCTGCAGGCACCATGCCCTCAACAGGAATATCTGTAGTTAACTAAAATCCATGTAGTTCTCTTGAAATTAATGTAAGACCCAGGCAAAGGTCAAAGGTAGAAAGTGACTGGATATTAAATAAAACCACACCCACAGATTTTTATCTACTGAACAAACACCCTCTGAAAATACTGTTTTAAAGTAAGTTCAGTGAGGCAAACCTTAGCTTGTAGCAGAAATTGCAAATTTTATTTAATAAAGTCTATCCTGCCTTTTATGTAAAGAGCAACATTTCAAGAGTAGCAGATACAAAGGAAGGCAGTCTGTCTTTTTTCAATTTCATAAAATAATCATTTAACATGAATAAATGGCTTCCAAATGAAGAAGGAAGTTTGGGGGGAAAACCACCTTATACTTTCTCTGATAATTTTGTAGAAAAGATGGGGGAGAAGACTTTTGTACCTTTAATGAAAAAAAACCCCAAGATAATTTTTGTAGAATCACAAGGTTAATTTAAAAAAATCACAGAAACCTTTACAGGTGACTCATCCATTCAACAATTTTCAGATGTGAATCAGCAGGTAGCCATCATTAGGCTAAAAATGTATTTCATCTATAAAGAAAACATACAAGAATATCTATCAACATCACAGTACCAATGACTATTTTTCATGGTCAAGAAACAAAACATTTTAATAAGCACCTGTTCCTGTGGAGTTAAGGCACCAAGCTGTTAGGAAGCACGGCATAGAGAAAAAAAGAAAAATGTGCAATCAACTACAGTGGACTGCGTATGAGGATGAGAATTAGTAAAAAGCAAGAGTCTTACTCCCAACTGCCACTATCTTGCTATGTCAGCCTGAAAAGGTACCTATTTGTGGCAGTATATTTCCATGAAATCTAGATGAGTTACTTTCTCTAAACAGTTTAAGGTCCTTACAGAACTTTTTATGAGAAAAATGGCCCTAATTCAATCTACCTTAGACTCTAACTCTGACTCACTGACACAATATTACTCTAGCCTTATGAAAAGTTAAAAAGAGCAACATATAACTTCACTCTTGAGGTAAGTGGTATAGCATATTTAAAAAACTTCACAGATAATTCATTCATAAAACCCAGCCATTCAACAAACAGTGCTCACATCTGGCCAATAAAAAGGACAGACATGAGAAAATGATGTGCATGGAAATGCAGCCACAGCTGACCTTACACAGTTCATAGGGTGGGGAATGGACAAGAAAATGGGCACAGCATAGCTCAGAGCAGGCAACAGAGCTTAATCTGTATCATTTATTTAAAACTGGATTCTTATTTTATTGAACTACTTCAATGTATCATACTCTGGTTCAAGTTAAAATCTGCATTATTAATTTTACACTGGGATTTATGATAATTTACATACATTTCTAACTTGAAATTGCATTCAAACACATACGTGGGTAACAAAATGACTCATATATTGGGCTGGGGACTTAGCTCAGTGGTTCTGCTGCCTGCCTCGCAAGCGGAAGGACCCGAGTTTGATCCCGGGTACCAAAAAAATTTTAAAAATTAAAAAAAATGACTCATATATAGAAGTGAACTTATTTTTTTCCCTTAATTTTACTCTATATAGCTATTTTAAAGTGATAGTCCTAATGTTAATAAAATTAAGATATATTAAACTGTTAAATATTATAATCTCTAGATCAGTCACATTTTCATGAGAGAAACACACAATGAATAAGATGAAAAGAATTTTACTTAAAAATAGTCAACACTATTATTTCATACACAGTAAAATCAGAATACTATTTTTAAAATGTAATTCTATTTACTTTACATCTTGATGTGATACAAATAGACTATCTAGTAAAGCAGGTGATTTTGGAAAGGTGTGCCAGTTCTAACTGAATTATGAGGAAAACAGTATAATTCTGCTAATTTATAGTTAAATTAAATCCTTAAATTGTCTATGTAAAAAAATGCAATATTATTCATGAAAACTGACAAAAGTCCCTCCTGGCCCAATAGTTCTTGAAATGTGGATTAGAAACCTAACAAGAGGTACAGTATGCGTTTTGTGAAGCAAATACAAAAACAGGCATTAGGAACAACAGTTTCTATTGTTCTTTCTCAAGCAGATAAGCCATTAGCTAATGAAAACTGAAAGCATCCTATAGTTTTCAAACTAATAAACTTTAGGTAAAATGACTAAAGGCTTTTTCAGAATATTCATGAGATGAATATGCAACAGCTCTTTATTTCACTGAAAAGAAGTTTATATTTAAAATAAAGAAGATTCAGACTCCACTGCAAAAGAAAAAAGCTTAGAAACAAGGAACAGATTTATTGTCTGATCTTGGGAGCTTATCTTATGTGAACTTTAGTATCTTTAAGGATCACTTGCTTTTCTTTTTGTAAATTACTACAATACTAAAACTACGCTTTCCCCACGTTCGAGGAGGTTTTCCAGTGACAATGATAAAAAAATCTACATAACGGGGTGATTCTATTATATAAA